ACCAGGGCCTCACCAAAGAGACCCAGAACTATTACACCCAGTGACCAGTTCTAGACAACAGAGCAGGATCCAATAAGCTTCACAAACAGTATATCCACAGGGAGATTTCAGCAGGCACAAAACCATCCTAAGGCAAATTCCACTTTGTATGATCAGCACTTGCATAGTAATTTTCATGCTGTATTGGGGAGTGAGCTTCACTATTAGCCAGCTTGAGTGTTGATCCCACACACAAATGGACCAAAAGCAATCAAGACTGAATTATGACAGGAGGGCCCACATAACATGCACAAGGGACATTCCTAGAGTAACCAGCTCATGTGATCAAGGAGACTACACCACTGGGTCCCACAGGTCACTGACTACATAAAGCCACCCTACGAAAACAGGGAGCCATAGCAGATCTACTTAAAACATAGAAACAAACACAAAGAGGCAGCTAAAATGCAGAGACAAAGAAACAGGCCCCAAATGAAGGAACAAGAGGATTCTCCAAAAGAAGTGCTAAATGAAATGGAGGTAAGCAATTTATCAAATAATAGAGTTCAGAGTAATCATTATAAGGATGCTCAACAGCATGACAAAGGATATAGAAATCATAAATAAGACCAGTCAAAAATGAAGAACGTCAAATCTGAAATCAAGAATACACTGAAGGAATAAACAGAGTGCTCAATGAAGTAGAGGATCAAATCAGCGATTTGGTAAACAAAAAACACCCACTCAAAGCATCAAAAAGAAAAAATAATTTTTAAAAATGAGTATAGTTTAAGGGACTTTATGACAACGTGAAGTGCAACAAAATCCATGTCATAGGGATACCAGAAGGAAAAGAGAGAAAGCAAGGGATTGAGAACCTATTTGAAGAAATAATGACTGAAAACTTTCCTAACCTGGTGAAGGAAAAAGACATACAAGGAAACACAGATTTCCAAACAAGATGAACCCAAAGAGGCCCACACCAAGTTACATCATAAATAAAATGGCAAAAGTTAAAGACAGACAATCTTAAAAGCCACGAGAAAGGAATCTACAAGGGAGCTCTCATAAAACTGTCAGCTGATTTCTCAACAGAAACATTTCAGGCCAGAAGGGATTGGTGTGAAATATTCAAAGTGATAAAAAACAAGGACCTAGAACCAAGACTACTTTACCCAGCAAGGTTATCATTTAAAATTAAAGGAGAAATAAAAAGCTTAAGATAAAGTACTTTCTTACTAACAAAACAGTATTTTAAAAAAACAGTATTTTAAAAAAATGTTAAAGGACTTGAAGAACAAGAAGAAAGAGGAGGAAGAGGAGAAGGAGAAAGACAAGGAGAAGAGGAAGGAGAAGAAGACTAAGCAAGGAAAAGCCCAGCCAGCGTGGCTCAGCGGTTGAGTGTCGACCTATGGACTAGGTAACAGTTCAATTCCCAGTCAGGGCATATAGGTGGCAGCCAATCAGTGATTCTCTCTCATCACTGATATTTCTATCTCTCTCTCCTTCTCCCTTCCTCTTTGAAATCAATAAAAATATATTTTTGTTTAAAAAAAAGAGAAGCAAATCATGGGGGCTGGTTACAAGGACACTGAGCCAGCGTGAAGGCAATCCCACTAGCCAAATCTGTGACACCTTGAACACCAAATAAGCACAGTATAAATTTTAAACCATTGGGAAAAAAATAGGAATTCATAATGCTTTACTGAAAACAAATAGATAAATAAGTGAAGGGGAAAGGAAGGCTTTTGCTTTTGCTTACAGTAGAAAGCCATGGCCAGGTGGGGGCATG